ATATTGTTCATTTTCTAATGATATCTTCTGTTCTTTATTGCAATGTGCATTGCTAACAGCGAAGCTAAATGTATCTCAGCCGACCGGCTGCTTGTTTTTAAACTCTATTGCTTTTATTTTTGGTATATACCATATTTATCCGGGTAAGAAGCCAGGGTCCTAAACATGGAAAATTGCCAAAAAATATTGGTATACCCCCGGTATTCCCCGCAAAAAAAAATTAAAATTCCCGAAAATTGACTGTCGCATACAACTTATGTACCACTTCCGTGTCACTGAGAATGTTCTAGAACCGTACTATGTCTGGGTGGAATATTCTATATTTTTTAGAAAATGGTTGAATAGGTAATAGAACACTGTAGGAGGCAATAGAAGGTAATGGAACATTCTAGAAATTTGTAGTAAGTTCCAGACTCATTATGTATGCTGATGTAATGGTCCATTTATAGACAGTAGGGGTATATATAGGGGAGTTGTTCAGCACTGAGTTCAGATCGGAGAAAATCTTGTTGAATTATATTGGAGTTTAAGTATCTAGTTATTGGAGTAGTGGAGTTTTACCGCGTTATTGTACTTGATGTTTGCAGAGTATAATAATACCAGTACCAGTTGAAACCTCATCTGTTGGCTCCGTGTTCGTATTTTATCATCGTCGCCAGGGAAATCTTTCTGTTACTGTTGCCATTTTGGTATTTGAACCATCACACCTGTACTATACCAATTACGGTAATATTACGTTGCGTGTGACATTGACATTACGCAGATCGAACTGCGGCAGAGATTATATGACGGCAAATGAAAACATGCAACAGAAATAAATGAACAATATGCAACATTAGAAGTAAAAAAACGACAGAAAAATAGTTTTCATGACAGAAATGCAATAGGGGTGACATTGTAAACTGCTACCAAATATTTTATAAAGCCAAAATAACGTGATTTCAACCACACTCTCAGTATGGGCTGCTACAATATTGCAGCATTGGTTTAATTGTTGATGATGCTACGACCGACCAAGTGTGACACTTGCTTCGCGACTCCTTGTACGAGTTACTTGAATCGTTTCTAAAGAAGCACAAATTAAACAGCCAGCTCTATTTAGGGCCACAACATATTTCAAAAAGAGAACATCCATTTCTGCTTTAATATATATTTTTACCTTGCCCGTACCATCAAAGATGGAAGGGAAAGGTATATTAAGGGAAAAATTTTGTCCGGTGTTGTTGTTGTCGTCGTTAATAATTGTTATTGTGTGCATAATAACTTTACTAATTCTATTCCAAACTTTATAAAACTTGGTCACCTTATTCATCAATATAAAGTCTTCCCTGAGTATGAACAACAGTTGTCCTGTATGAAAATATCATGCAAAAATTGAGAAAATCTGATAAAAATATTTTGACTATTTCTACTTGACTGATCACTGGTGATACACATCAAAGGTCACTGATCTCAGTGGAAATATGCATTGTTGTATGTGTTCAATGAAGCAAATCATTTATCTTGTAATAATATCCTTGGTAATGCATCTCAGAATCCCATACTGGGTTTCAAAACCAACTCATGGAGAGATTGCACAGTCTGATACACATTTGCAAACCTACCAATAAATTCTTTACAGAAAACAAGATGTCAGAAAATCAATATAAACACTCCTATGAACTGGGTCAAGATCTGAAGCTAATAGAAAATCTGTTTAGTTCAAAGGTATCAAATCAAAAACAATACATAAAAAATACATAAAAAGCAAAACATTTCATCCACATTTTAAAAAGAAAATTGTTCTAAAATATATGTATTCTGTATTTGACAAACAGTTCATTCGACAAATGAAAACTCGCAGAAATATGTTTCAGCTATTAGAACAGAATGATATAGTTTTTATAATACTGGTTTAAAAACGCACTTCAAAGATTGCAGTGTTTGAAGATGTAGATTCTCAGGAGGCAACAGTACTGTTGACTTCTCCCTCCACTGTACACCAACTAACTATTTAAGTTGATTTGCATACAAAGCAGAGCTTGCAACATGATAGCTATTCATAAAGGGTGTTTTTTTTTACTTTTCATATAATACAATAGTCACACAATGAGGCAGTTCATATTTGTCTCAGAGAATCATTAATTTTTGACAGACACCTGTACAAAATACTTGGACAAAAGCCAGCTAAGA